TTCATATTTCCAGCATCATTTTTAAGAATCTTATTCAACATAGCAGTGCCATTGTTTAGCATTCTCACGTATTTGGTCATATTGTCAAACTTTGATTTTTGCAATGTTACCTCCTCTCTAAGATATGTAATGACAGATATATGCTCTTCTTTCTCAGCCTCCAATTGATCAATAAGTATCTTTTGCTCCAATATTTTCTGCCCCATTCTACCATTCTTGACGCACATCTCTGTGAACCCAATAGCCAATTCACTAATTGTGATTTCTCCAATATATGATTTTTTATCAGATTCACGTGATTCTTGATCAGACCCACAAATTCCAGTCAAGGCAATCACCTGCTTGGCTGAATCTTCTTCATGATCACTTTCAGATTCTCCATCTGACCATGAAACTAATAATTTATTCCCTTGCTTCTTGATATAGGTAGCATATTCAGTTCTTATGTGTCTATATCCCTCGCATTCATGACACTGGACACCTTTCCCTTGATTTGGCTTCTCCTCAAATCTTGACTTCCTTCCTATGTCCTGGTTTTTGTTGATGTCGGATGACATGTTCTTAGAATTTAACCTGGACTTCCTTAATACTCTATTAAAATGTCTCCCCAACAACACAGTGTCATCAGAAATTCCTTATACTCTTTGAGTCATCACCGCTAGAAACAAAAGCTATACTCTTTTTATTTTTAGACCTTTCATTGATGGCATATTCAAAGGTATTAAAAAAGCTTACCAATTCATCAACAATCATAGTACTTATATCATGGGATTCTTCAATGGCAATCACCTTCATGTCAAACCTCTTTGGAAGAGATCTGAGCATCTTCCTGATCAACTTATTCTCTGAAATCTTCTCTCCCAAATCTTCTGAGTTGTTAGCAATGTCTAGCACAATCATGTGAAAGTCTTGAATACTTTCATCCTCTTTCATCTTCAAGTTTTCAAATTTTGTAGAGAGAAGTTGAAGTTTTTCCATCTTCACCTTAGGATTTCCTTCATGCACCTTCTTTAGGGTTTCTCAAGCAACCTTAGCATGCTTGCAATTTTTGATCAGTTTGAACACATTCTTATCAACCCCATTGAATATTTCATTCAGTGCTTTAGAGTTCCCTTGAGATGAAGGCTCATCATCATCACTCCAATCTTCTCCAGGCTTCAGCACATCAGTATCTTTATCATCTTCTCCCTTAACTTTAGGAGGATCCCATCTTTTGACAACATTTCTCCAGTGCTGAAAGTAAATAACACAAGATATGTTTATCCAGTTCGAAATAACCTTTCTACTCCGAGGACTACCAAGCCAGGGACAAAATTAATTAGATGGTATTAATTTGTAGACCTCACAACAAACATCCCAGTTTATATCCTACGCACTTAATCATTACCCTTTGCTTAACATCTATCTAAGCAGACCTAGGTATGAGGCCCTCCTCAAATCCCTCTTCAATTACACTCAACAATTGGAGCAACTCTAAACACAAGTAGAGAACAAAATCGGAAGTCACTCTTCCAAGACACAAAAAACTCAATGTTTAAAAGCTTATGAAAATTGACATACAAATACTTAATACTTAACGACATATGAGTATCTGACACACAAATGTTTTATTCTTAAAAGCTTAAGAACATCTGACACATAACTTACAAACCAACAATGAGGATTCTAAAACCCTAACAAAATACACACGTAAGTTTCACCTAATACTAGATATACACCAATCTATTTATAACATTATTCTGGACTGGGTTGGGCTTCAAAACCACAACAATGAGGCTGCACAAGGTCTACACTTTCTTCTCCGAGATAATAGATCTTCAATCATTAGTTTCGTAAAATGTCTCCATATTTAGAAACTATGCAATCTTCGAAAACCAACATAAAAATATTCTGATTTGTTAATCTTGGGTGCTACATAAGCTAACTGAATATTCCCAAATATTCAGTAACTTAATAAATCAGCTGAAACATAACTAACAACTATTGCAGACGTGATGTCCTATCTCTAGGTTGGGACATCTTCTTCGACATGTTAAAAACAACAAGTTGAGACTTCTTTATTCAACATGTTGCTGCCAAGTTGATTTTACCAAAATGTATGTCAATCACAATTTCATAGAAATACCAAATCATATCTTATTTGTAACATTAAAACACCATTGAGTACACATTATTTCATGAATCTATCACACCAATTATGCTTATGTTCATAACCTTAAAACACATCAATGGTAACCCTTATTTTCATAATTCAAACCAAATTAACTTGTATAAAATTCATAATTACACCAAATACAAATTTCATACTCATACACATCAACAGCACGGAATTTCAGATTAACATACTCAATAATTTCTTAAGACACATACAAAGCTCATAAGCATAACAATGGAGGAATGAACCTAATGGAAGGTGAGGACCCCTCTCTACCCCATCATGCAATACACCAATAGAAGAGCAATCCACCTTACCTAAATTTATAGCAAGCGCATGTTCAAAGCTCTTGATTATGATTGTCTCATTCTCACAAAACCCTTTGTTCTTCGCTCTTCGCTCAACGATTCTGAAGGACCTAGGTGAACATTGAATATATGGGTGCTTGTAACTTCTTATGTCTACTTGCGGTGAATTGATGAACCAACTTCTTCACCATGACAGACATAAATGATGAACGTGAGGATAATAATTCGACTAAGTACTACGGCGGTAACCCAGGTTTACCAGAGACACACTATGGATGCCAATTGTACTGGCTAAAAGTACAAATGTGTGACAATCCTTAGTAGTTAAAGGTTTTCATAGACTTCAAGGTTGTTGTGAGGTTGAGAGCTAGCTCTCGTCGAATGAGAAGCTCCTGTATGTGTGTATTTTTGTGTTACATGTTAGGTCCCTCTCTCCTCAATCATGACGGTGGGATATTTATATCCGTCCCAGACTTTAATCTTAGGCTTTCTTAGAAATAACAACCATCCATGAAGTGGATAGTTTACCTCCTGATATTTAGGAGAGCATGCTTCACCTCTCTCACGACTTCTTATGTGTCGTTACAAGAGGATGACATGTCACTCCTTTTTGCGTTAGGCGGCTTATCCCAAAGAAGGACGAGAGATCTAACAAAATGGTGATACAATCAATAAAGGGGCGGTTGATCTGATAAATGTGCGACTTAAGATCTCTATGTAGCCTCCTAAGGCCTCTTTACAAATATACTGATACAAAGGTCAATGCGCATACTCTATGATACAAAATTTATGTATCATCACTATTAGCCTCAACTGCCGCATCCGGGTGATATATGCATAACTTCTCTAGAAATCCACATTTTGCATGACATCCTCTAGTGTCATCTATCTCGTGTTATGCATAGTAATTCCATAGTAGTTTAATAATCTTCCAGTGATCGAAAGATGTATGAGGGATGACACATCATCAAGTGTGATAGACATCTCATCGATCAGAAGATGAAATAATGACGTCTCTTAGTGTCATATCTCCATGAAAAGACAACAAACCATGGTTAATAAAAGTATACCTAGTCCTGTATAAATCTTGAACCCCGATAACTGCATGACATCATGAAGCGATGGTTCATTAGGCTGCGACATCTTTACAATCTTCCTATTGTGGTTGATACATTTTAACGCTCATGGTGCTGTAACAAAATACATCATCGCTTGAAAGTTCCATTTTTATAACACATGTTTAAAAGAGTAAATACCGATTTATTTTACCTCTCCATCTCACATGTGCCTAGCACAATGGTTTCCATACATATAAAGTAGTGAGGTGTCTGAGGGGCCTCTTTGAAAAACATTGGGAATGACAACAACATGTTGGCCTTCTAGGGCAAAAGGTTGGACTTTTAGAACTTCTGAGGAAGCATTAGTGGACACATTCCTTCAAGAAGATGATAACAAAAACACATAAACCCAGGAAGATGATGATTCTGCATCAAATGATGTGACACCAACTACTGGACACGAGGGTCTAGCCTTTTTCCCCCGAACGAAAGCATGTTAAGTCAAATCCGGGGGATAGAATAGACAAAATAAAACAAGTTATGCATATAAAAAAATTACAGAAGTTAACTTCTGCACTAGGAGAAACCAAAAAACGCAAAAACAATGCATTGCCCTAAACCCTAAACTCCAAGGCTAAAAAAATCTAAATACATGTCTTACTAAACAATTTATTATGCGTTTAACTACAACCTAATGTACCATAAACAACCCCTATGTGTTAAACTTCAAACTAATGCGTCAAGTTTTACAATGTAGATTTCAACAATGACATTATTATGTTAAATAAATCCAACAATGTTGTATGTGGTATATATCTGAAGTGGACAACATGTGTTGATGCAAAAGATCATTCCAATGATGCAAAAGATCATTCCAATGATGATGCAGTGAGAAAAGAGATAATTACTCGCCCAACAGGAAGAATAAACAAGAAAGGACTGCTTCCATCCCAATTTGTGATTTTATGTGGCTCAATGCATGTTTGACACTTGAAAACGCTTAAACATACAATATATGCATTGAATACAAACAACACACAAATGAAGATATTTTGGTTACAAAAGACAAGAAAAAATAATTATGCTATGCTATCACATTGTTCTGTCCTATAACGCTCTCCTCCTAAACAACAAAGCCAGCATTATCACCAAATGAATTATGAAGTACATAATAGCAAATAGAATGACACATTTTTACAAAGAAGATACATAAGAATAAATAAATTTAGATCATACTCATAAGGGGGTTAATATTATTAACTCAAGTTCAGAGCCACAGTTACAAGTAATAGACAACATTCACAAACTCATAGAATTAGAATTAGAATCCAATCCTACCATATACAATATCACCATCAGTTAACATCAAAACACTACTTCAAGTACAAGCACCACATATACAATTGAGAATCCTCCATTAAAGCACCATCAATCTATTCAAACAAACAAAACACTACTCAAAAAAGAGTTTCATTTCCTCTATTCTTTAACGTGATCATCAAAGTTGAATATTTTGGATTTCATATGGTCCGGCCACCACGTTGGACGAGGAAAAGTAATACCAGAGCGCTTTGCAGCTTCCAACATGGAAAGACCATCATCATCTTCTTCAACAGTGTTCTCAGAGAGAATTTTCAGTACATCAAAAACAGAAAACTTCTTTTTCTCCTCAACCTTCTCAGTTTCCACACCATTTGCAGTTGCAGTCGATTTCTCCAAAAGACAACGGATTGAGTTTGGCAGCACACACAACACCGGATCCTCCCGAATCCCAGAATCTTCCCTGATTTCAGTGTTCCCCTCAACCAAGTTAACATCCCCAGCATTTTGAATAACTCGAGTTTCAACATTTTCCTCTGGTACTGAGTTATCGTCCATCGGAATTTCCCTGCAAAAATCATCATTGTTCACATCATTCACTTGCTCACCACCCACAACATTGCGGGGACTTTCCAACTTTTCCTCCTCAGAATTTCTCACACCAACTACATCACTCTGTGACTGTTGACCTCCCAAACAATTCCCCAATGAATCAAAACCTAATTTCAGTTTTTTCACAGGGGACTCACCTGAATCAGAAATTCCCCTTTCAGAAACCCTAAATTCATCTCCCTGAACAGCATGCTCATTCTCCAGGACAAAATGAGCAACAATTTCATTCTTCAACCCTAATTCAGAATCCTTTCCGAAATCCATAAACTCCGAACTAACCGAATCAACATCAACGGCCTGATTAACTGGACAGTAAGGAGCATCAACGTCGGAAGAAGAAAGCGAATACGCCTCGGGTGGAGTGTGGAAAACTTCTTGGGTATCGGGAGGAGAGAGAATGAGAATGGGGGCGGAGGAGATTGGGATTTCGGGTTCGAACTGGGATGGCATATCTTGTGAGGCGGGAGTGTCTCCGACGAAGGATGTGTGGTGTAAGAGGTGTTCCTGGGAAGTGGATAGACGAGAGGTTTCTGATATAATGGTAAATGCATCTTCATTCATAGTCTCTTCTTATTCCCGATACCCAAGACGTTTTTTAAATTAACTAATTAAATCATTAAATATCCGTACGCTCGCCTGACTATTTATGTTAGATACCTGAAATTGCCACCAATTATTTTTTATATTTAAGAAAAAAATTAAATTAAAAATTCAGAAAAGTGTTATATATAGATTAAAGAAATGAGAAATGTTAAAGATAAATTTAAAAAGAAAAGTAGAAATTAGTTATTGATAATGCATTAAAATTAAAATATGACAATAAAAAAAGGTTAGGTTTTCTTTAAAGGTGTATTTGGCTTAAAAGAGAAGTCGTGAAAAAGAAATAGATAGTAGAGTGTAAGAAAAGAGAAAAAGATGAAAAATAAAGAAGATTTGATGTATTGTTTGATTTAAGAGAAATAAAAAAGAAATAGAGAAAAGAGAAGTGTTGTATATTTTTAAAAGCACAATAATATCCTTATAATAAATAACGTTTAAAATTTTTTATATTTATAATTTAATGGACAAAATAGTCATTTCATTCTACTAATTTATTTTTTCCACTTTCTCTCCATAATTAAAGAGAAATACAAAAGCCGTGAAACACACTCTTTTTTAATCTCTCTTTCCCATTTTTCTTCTTTTCAAACAAGAGAAGCTAACAATCTCTCTTTAACTTCTCTCTCACCTATTTCTCTCTTTCCTACTTCTATTCTACCAAACACATTCTAAGAGTCCGTTTGGTTGAAGTAGATGGAGAGAAGAGGAGAGGAGGGGAGAAGATATTTGTAAATATATTTATCTGATTCATTTTTTATAAGGAGTGAGGGGAGAATAGCAAAATCCTTCTTAGACTCACTTTTTGCTTCCCTCTAAATTTGAGGATTTGTAGAGGAGGGAAGATTCATTATTTAAAATTTTATTATTTTCTCTAATTTATCCTCAACTATTTTTATTAATTCTAAGATTGACCTCATTGAATTATTAAAGACTAGGTTGACTTGATTGTCCTTATTGCTTCCCTCCAAATTGTATATGTTGGTTGTTGTTCTAAAAATTTGTATATCAACAACGTATATAGTTCTTGTTGTATAATTTATTACTTGTATATATGCATCGAAGAACTATTGTTTGTTACGATGTTATACTTATATGCATTCAAATTTGTATATTAAATGTATATAGTTCTTGTTATGATGATCTACCTATATGGAGTCAAATTCATGATAAAATATAGCAAGTTTGGTTTTAATATATAACATTAGTAAAATATTATAATATAAAAATTACAATAATAATAATAATAATATAATATTTTATGAATATTTTGTTTACAATTTAATATATTTTTGAATATTTTGTTTACAATTTAATATGTTTTTAAACATTTTGTTTAAAGTTGTGTGGTTTATGAATGAACAAGTTTTTATTTAGTGAAATTTACTCATAATTATTTTTATTTATAAATATTTTTACTAAGTACAAATGGTAATATTTATAAGGATAAAAAGGTAATTTAGTTTTAAAATTTCTCCCTTCTCTTTGTGAATCAAATATATATGTTGTTAAAAATCTCTCCTCTTTCCTCCCCTTCTTTGAAACAAACATATATTTAGTTAAATTTCTTCTCCTCCTTTTCCCTCCATTCCCCTTCCATCTATTAAGTTCCCTCCCTTCCCTTCCCCTCTGTTGAACTAAACGGACTCTAAATAGATATTGTTTTAGTATTATTTATAAAAATATTGGAATCTAAACTTGTTTATGTTATTATTCAATATTTTGATTTATGTTATTGTTCAATATTTTGATTCACGTTATTGTTCAATATTTTGATCAAGAATTTCATATTCCAATTATTATTTAATATTTTAATCAATAATTTCATATTCCCGTTATAATTATTTTAATTTGATATTTTAAATAAATGATAATTTACGATTTAGTCAAAAAAAATTTATCTATAATTAATCAACATCATTACAAATATTAATAACAATAAAAATCTTAAATTGACAAATAAATTGTCTCAACCAATTTAATTTTTCTATTTTAAAAATTTATAAGTATTCGACTAAAAAAAACTGCATGCCTAAAGAAACTACATAACTATCAAACTTTTTACAAAGTTGGATAGATCTCCTTCATCCTTTCTCTCTATTGTCTTTCTCTTTTTCATGTTTTTAACTTTTGTTTTCTCATTTGTGCGATCCAGTTTATTGTATTCAAACAAAATACATATTGTATTTTCCATCATCTCAATCTTCTCTGCATATTTTTATACATGCAAAACAACCAAAAATATTGGAAGATAAAATCAAAGTTAGATATATTGATATATTAAAAGTAAGAAATTTTTTATTATAATAATTTTTCAGATAATTTAAAAGAATATTTTTTATGGTAATAATTGATCAAAAAAATATTGTTTTATAATTATAAATATTTAAACATAAAATTCTAAATATTTGTTTTGATTATATATATATATATATATATATATATATATATATATATATATATATATATATATATATATATATATATATATATATATATATATATATATATATATATATATATATATATATATATATATATATATATATATATATATATATATATATATATATATATATATATATATATATATATATATATATATATATATATATATATATATATATATATATATATATATATATATATATATATACTCTTTGACGAAGGGTCCAATGAATTGAGATTTCCCTATTGGGAAGGGTCATTATATATATATAATTTAATCAAAAGTTGATGTAAAATATGGAGTTGTAGAAGAAAGACATAGACATACTTGATATTCGAATTTATCACTTTATGGTATTTTTATTAAAAGAGTTATTATCATTTTTGTCTCCTGTTAAATAGAAGATTTTTGATTTAGTCTTTCGTAAGAAAATTTGTGATTCTAACTTTGCCACTTGAAGATTACGTAAACTTTTTAGTGATTTTTTTTATTTGCTTTTAAATGACACATAAAAAATTAATATGTACTTGAAAGTTATAAGCATTGTTTCATTTTTCCAAATTTTTTTTATCGTTAACTAATTTTTTTTGTGTTGTAATATTCAAATAAATGTATATATTTAAAACAAAATTTTCAAAATTTTGTTTTTTGAAAGAACAACATTGGAGTATGATTACAAATAAATTTATCAATTTTGTCAAATGAAGAAAACAATATACTATAGAATATTTTCTTTCACGGACAACATTGAGAAGTTATTCCAAAACATGATAATATTTATTTTTACCATTAAACATTGGCAAGAGGTGCAAATAACAACAACAATAACATGTTAAGATTGTAACTCTGTGTGTCGATTATGATCACACATGGTGTATTTATATGCAAATAGGTAATATACAATAAGAAATAATATCAATTACAATTATGACTAATTTGAAATTCTGACACTTGCAATAACAGAAGTCAAGAATGATGTCTCAATAACACACAATATCACGACAGATGTTATAACATCTGCTGACAGAAAAACAGACTTACTAAAAACAGAAAGACTGTGCATAAACGTGAATTGCAAAAACTTAAAGAACACAATCAATTGTTAACCCAGTTTGGTACAACTCACCTACTATGGAGGCTACCAATCCAGGAAGGAAATCCACTATCAGTATTATCAATTTGAAGCTAAACAATCCAATTTTACAACTTCTCACTTAATTCCACCCAATGCAATTTCTATCTAAGAACCTCCTAGATATGAGAAGTTCTCTTACCCCCAATCACCGTAGTGATATCAAACAATCCCAATCCCAGGAAATGTCTCAAGAAACCAAAGAGAAGATTACACTTCCAATACAAAAATACTTAGTTTGCTTAAAGCTTCACTAAGAACAATACTCAACTCTTTACTTAAAAGCTTAGAGGAGAATAATAACTTGATAAACAAGTAACAATCAATAAACTCAAGTGCATCAAAAGATACTTGAGGACATACAAAAGCACACAGAGAAACTAAGGAACTCTAAAACCATAAACCCTTATTTTTCCCAAGGTTTTACAAATAAAATAATGCTTAAAAAACTAGGTCTTGGACATCTCCTTATATAGACTTCTACAGTTGAGCTTGGACTCTTCAATCAAATCCAATCTTCAGCTCTAAATCCCTGCATAATCTTCTCCACAAAAATAGAAATAAAAAACAAATATTTCAAATATTTCCTAAAAAGTCTCAAAAATCATTTTTATGAAACAAATCAAATCTGCAATTGTTTCTTAAAATTACTTGATTGCATGCATCTGTTATGAGTACTAGAAGCCTCCAGAATCTCAAAATTTTCAATCAAATCTTCAAGGATATTATCCCGTTGTACTGTCATGATGTTCTGTTGCAATATGTTACAACATCTGATAGAACATATGTCAAATAAGTACCAAAAGACTCTGTTGTACCAGCTGGTCAAGATGTTATGACATCTCGTTCAATATTAGACTACAATACATGTATTATATGAAGATTAAACTCAATGTACATTTAAAAAAGCACCAAATAACACGACTAGCTACAAACACACCAACAAACTCAAAAAAGTGAGTGCCTCGGATCAATTCCAAGCGCAAGTACCATTTACCTTTTCCGGGCAGCAACGCCATAATCATGAGAAACGCGCAGAATTTCGGTCCGTAAGTGATAAAACTTGTTATAAATACCGCCCACACACCAAAATCAAGTGCCTTAATCATTAGCCATTGACAAAATATACCTTTGTGCTCAAAATTATGTCCAAAAAGTGGAATTCAACCATAAAATTAAATGTTGATTTAATTTCCGAATTTGAAACTTGTACATTGAAAATGAGAGTTTATTCACAAAATAAATTAGAAATTATATCAACACATGATTACATAATCAACATATCAACAACAATTCCATAATTGACATGTGGACTCATAATTAAGTATTTAAGATTTCAACATTTTTTTACCGAATCAAAAACAAAATTCACATCAATTATGC